GGTCAAATATTTGAATTTTACACTGATGCACCGATGCACCATGGGTATGCATCGATGCACTGACGCTCCCAACTGCTTTAATTAATTGTTTTCACACTTAAACGACTCTATTGACTCCACTAATCATCCCCAACGTTCAGAAGTGATTCAAGGTGTATTTAAACAAGCTTTGATGCCATTGATCAATAACAAGAAACAACAAGCAACTAGAATCAAGAGAGATTCAAAGAGAAAGCATCAAACCTTAAGTTTGAGCATTTCAAGCCTTTTTCATTCAATATTCATTTTGCTTTCAAGAACACTTATTGTGCTCAATTGTATTTATTCTTGAGTGTTCTTTCTTTTTTCTAGAACTGTGCAAACATATTTTCCTTGTGAGGTTTTTCTTGTAAGTTAGCAAATTTGTAATATTCTCTTTGAGAAAAGAGTGTTCTCAAAATTGGGGTATATTCTTGAGGGAGTTGTAAGGTTATCTCTTTGGCCTCAAAATAAAGAACAAATTAGTGAATTTGTTGGAAAATCCTTAGTGTGGATAGCTAAGGTAGTGGACGTAGACTTTAGTTGATAAAGTCGAACCACTCTAAATAGCTGTGCAATTACTTTCAATTTTCTGCAAAAGCTCCTACCAAAATTTTTATTGCCAATCCACCCCCTCTTGGCCGATTCCATCGATCGATTAACTCAACACTTATGAAGGAACCGACGAAGTGATGAAACAAAGATAAGTCTTCTTAACCATAGTTACGAGAATTTCAAGAAGAAACCCGATGAAGACATCAAAGCTATGATAGATATATTTTCTATTATTTTCAACGATCTCAAGGGATTTAGAGAAGTAATCCCTAATGAGAAGCTTGTGAGGAAGATGATATACTCTCTTACAAAGTCGTGGCAATCGAAAAAGACAACTATTATCGAAGCTAGAGGCCTAAAGTCTCTCACTCTCGACGAATTGATTGGTTCTCTTCTCACTCATGAGTTGATGGTGAAGGAAGAGGAAGATGATGAAGAGAAGAAGGAAAAGAAGAAGAAAGAAAAGAAGAATGAGGTAGGCATTACCTTCAAATCCACCAACGAGAGCTATCAAGATTCAAGTGAAGAGGTGGATGGAAATGATGATGAAGAATAAGAGATGGTCAAGCTTTCCAAAAAGTTTAAAAGATTCATGTCTTCCAAGAAGTGACACATGAATCAATGAATAAGAAGGGTCCCCCGGTGTGCTTCAATTGTCAAAGAACGGGGCATGTCAAGTATAAATATATCCTCCTAAAGAAGAAGGGAACATCAAAGAAAAAGGCATTTGTAGCATCTTGGAGTGATGAAGATGACTCCAATGATGATGAAGAAGTAACCAACCTATGCCTCATGGCCATTAAAGAAGATTCTGAGGTATCTTCTAACCCAAATGAATTTAATTCATGTTCTTTTGATAAGTTACAAGATGCCTATAATGAGTTATATTTGGAATTTAAGACCATGAATTCTAAATATAAGAAATTAATTTCAATATTTAAAGTTGAAAATGATTTGATTTTGAAAGCCAAAGTTGATTTTGAAAATCAAAATAAAATTTTGAAAAATGATTTAGAGCTTTCAAAAGTTAAAATCAATGATTTAGAAAAAAAAATTGATTTGAAAGTTAAGCTTAAGAGCTTAACAAAAGAAAAGGAATTAATTTCTCAAAACAACTCATTATGTTTAAAAATGGCAAAATGCTCATATTGTCATTTTTACGGTCAGTTGGAACATACTTTTCATTTGAAGAAAGGAAAACATTTTAAAATTAGACAAGTATGGGTTCCTAAAGGGACAAGGGGCATTGAAACTAACGTCCAAGGATCCAAAGCAATTTGGATACCAAAATCTAAATAAATGTCTCTTGTAGGTGTGTGGGAGCAATGGTAATAAAAATGAAGAAATTGAGATGATCTAGTCACACTTGAAAATGAAAGGGTAACCTCCTCTAAGCCTAATGTTTCTATTTTGATTATTTGGTTGCTCATTTAGTTTATGCATGCATGAGTTTTGATTTTAAATGATTTGATGTTTTCCATCTCATGTATGTTGAAAAAGTTTTATGATGAACATTTTAAAGTTTTAATGATTTTTCATAATTTTTAGTTCATCATAGTTAATTTTGGTCAAAATTGGTTTTAAATGTAAATGATATATCTCTAAAAATTGATATCAACTTTTCAAATGTTTTGATTTTACAAATTTTAAAATTTTCACCTAAATTTTTATGCACATGTACTTAATTTCTACATTGGATATTGCATAAAGTATTTTAGACTTGGATATATTGAATTTCATGTGATACTAACATGGTTTTTACTCTTTGTTGAAATTCAATTTTGTTTAAGTGTCAAGCTTTTAAAGTTAAATTTTGTTTGAAATGCATTTTTTGAGGGGATCTTTGATTTTTCAAATGTTTTAATGTCAAATTTATCACTTACTCTCCAAAGTTATTTTAGAACTTTAAAATTGAATTCTTTTTTATTTAACAAAAGGAAGGAGAAATATTGGGTTTGAAAAATTCAATTTCTTAATGAAAAAGGGGGAGCTGAACATTTTCACATATTTTCCAACAATTGATATTTTTTCATTAAACATTTTAATAAGGGGGAGTTTTGCCAAAAAAATTCAAATGTTTTGTTATATCAAAAAAGGGGAGATTGTTGAACTATATTTTGATATAACAATTAAGGCAAAATATTTTTTGGACTTGAATTGAATTTATTCAAAAGTTTTCAAAAATAATTCAAAGTCCTTAAAAGTGGAATTGAGCACAAAATACGTTTTTCAAGTAGTACCGATATTGTTCTTACAGTATCGATACCTAATGAACAAGTACCGATATTGTTCATATAGTATCGATACCAAAGGTAAGGGAAGTATCGATACTCACTAGGTAGTATCGATACTACCAGTATTGCTCAAATTCTAGAATGCAAAAATGGTACTGATACCCAAAGGGGTACCGATACTACTTTACATAGTAGTAATCAATACCATATGTGTTGTATCGATACCACAAGGCCCAACAGCTAGTTAACGACTAGTTTATTTAAAATAAACAAAGGCAATACTTATACTCCCTTTAGGAGTACCGATACCCTCTGTACTAGGCAATTTTATTTTGCAGTGTTTTCATCCCCAACGACTCTAAACAACCCTCAACGGCTAGAAACGACCACAACAAGATTCCAACATATAAATACTAGTTCAAGACACTTGACGAAGGTTAGAGAACCTACCCAAGAATTCAAGCACAAGAGAAGAAATCTTTCATTCTTAATTTCATTCTCTCTTGTAAATATTTATTCTTTGTGAGCTTAATTCTTGTAAAAACCTACCTTAAAGGGTTTTCTTGTTTACTTTTTTGTTTCCTTTATTGTAAAGGGGTTGGTTCTATCTTAGCAAAGTGAAAAAGATTGGGAGTGTAAAGGTTATCTCTTGATCCTTTAAAAAGAAAGAACAAAATAGTGAATTTGTTAGAAAATCCCAAGTGAGGAGCTTAGGTAGTGGAGGTAGACTTGGTTAATAAGTTGAACCACTATAAATCATTGTGTCAATTGCTTGATCATTTATTTCTCCTTACTCCCTAAACAATTTCTATCAATTCCCCCATTTGCAAATTTTTTCGGTTGTTTAATTTGAGCCTCTTCAAATCCTAATAGATTATAACCAAGAATTTCTTGAAAATAACTTTTAAAGTTATAATAGAAATAGTTGTATAATTTACCTGATTTATTATGGAGTGTTGGAAATGAATATTGCAAAATCATACTATTAGCACTGACAGGACAAATAAAAATATAAATAGCAAATGAACTTTTGAAAACATGTCGTAGTGAAAACCGCTACCTTAGAAACAAATTTGCCCCGATGTGCATAATCGCAGCAATAGGCGGATCGTCCCCCGAGGTTAACACATTCGCTTCGAGAATTCGTACACTCGAAATCGAAGTGGACTATAGTGGTACCGCTCTTCTGAAGCACCAGAGAAAAGTTAAAAAGCTTAGAAAGCCTCTCCATTTATGGGATGAAGGGACAAAAACTTCAAAGCATAATTCATAAAAAATCTTATTTAAATTTCTAAATTTAAACTACATTACTACTAAAATAAACAAATGAACCTAGCCACAAAGCAATCTAGATTCATGGTTTAATTTACATCCGTTTGTAACTCTTGCAATTATTTTTGCAACTCTTGTAATTAATCTTGTAACTGACACAATAAACAACTTTGGACATAGCTAAAATATCGTCTAGATACATCCAAATGTTCACAGATTCAAATTCTAGAAATTGACTGTTATGACAGCTAATTACTCAGTTGTTACCCTCTGAAAATTTAAATCGAACATACCACTGTGCAACCTATAAATACGAATTTTCTCCAAAAAGATAGTATCTGTGCAGACGTGTCGAAGACACATATTGTCACGAGCACGAGACGAGATGGACAGCGGCGACGGAAACGCAAATGACCCCTTATTCTCTATCACTCAACAAATGAGGGAAGCATGAACACTATAAATACCCAAGTCAGTGGTATTTCCCACTCAATGTGTGATAGTATTTTTACGCATTACCAATAAAGAGAATGTAATATTTTTTATTTCAACTTAAATTGTTATTCAAATTAGTTTAAAAAGTTACACTTTTGATAAATTTTTTGTTACAACCGATTTTTATCTATTTTTAATTTTATATTAGTGGATTGTATTTTAGACTTATCTAATTTTACAAGGTAAGATTTTTTCTTTAAAATTTATATTTGGCATTAGCTTTATAAATATTTGAGTCAGAATAAATTAAATTTGAATTAAAATTAAAAATTGAATTAATAAGATAATATTATATTTTTATATATTATATATTTAAAGATAATTATTTTAATATTTTTTATATACGCAAAGATTGTGGGAGATTATTGAATTTGAATCAAACAAAATACTACTATGTTGTTAGGTTAGTAAAAAACAATGGGAGAATTAAAATGTAAATTGATTTTTATTGATTAATATGGTAGTCAATTATACCTCCCAATAAAATATGAAGTTATTAGTAATTAAGATGGAAGCAATCCCTTGAAAAAATCCACCAACTTGAAGTAATCTCCAATCACTCTCTCATCTACACCGTTCCTCACCAACTGCGGAAAAAACAACCAAAAAGCGGAGGCCACCACAAAGCCCAAAGCCAACGGCCCGGAAACCACCGGGTGTAACCTCATTTTCTCGGGCATCGCCTTCTTCACTGCCACTTCCACCGCCACCGCCACTCCATGCAAGATGAAAAACCACGTTACCTCCCAAGTTGGAGCCACGCGAGTCAAGTAATAATAAATCAACTCATGCATCAAACCGGAGACCACGAACACGGCGACGACCGCCGGCAAGAAAACCCACATCGGTCCGAGTACCCGAGCCGAAACACGACGTATGGGGTAATATACGGTGGGGCGTAGAATGCTAGTAACCATGAGGTTCCATCTACGGCCCCAGAAATCTTGTAAAGAGGTGGCTAGGTAGGGTTCGTTGAACTGTGGCTCGAGCTCGAACCCAAAGATGGCTCGAGCCGGGAGTGCGGCCAAGGCTAGGATGAGCTCAACCTCGATATAGGTGTGGACACAGTACATCGCTAGAACCACATTTTTATGGAGATACTGTTTGTAGTAATAAGAATGGTAAAGTAGAGCTAATATTAGAACTTTTATGGCAAACAAAATTGATTTTGATCTATCGGGTGGTTTAGATTTGCTTCGAGACGGGGCTGCTGCTTTGGGTTTAATGGGGAGAGAAGCTAAGGAAATGAAACGGAAAAGGCTTGGTGGCGGCGGTGAGAGCGGTGGTTGGTCGAAAGCAAAGAGGAGGAGCTTGAAATTGCAGAGCCAAGCGAGGAAGAAGGCGGTGATGCCGCCGATATGGGCGGAGGGGATGGTGAGAGGGATGTAAATGAAGAGGATGAAGATTGGGGTCAAAGAAATAAGCCTGAAAATGCCTTTGGGGAGTTTTGATGATAGGTAGAAGCAGCAAGAAAGGGAAATTATAGTCAAAATCCCTACCTTGATGAAGCTTTCAAGCTCATCCTCCATTTGATTTTCGTCTTGTGAATCCCTGGAACCTTTTTTTTTTTTTTGGAATTGTGAAACTATATTAATATTGATAAGAAATATAGCTGATAATTCATTAATTTAGATTTCAAACGGATATCGTCTCTCGATTGTTACCAAGTGATACTGATGCCACTTTCTGTCGTTTTCTAGTTAATTAAATTAATCTACCATAGTTGTGTTTTCATATTTCTTTATATATAAATTACATACTAAATAAAGATATTATTATGGGTAAATTACCTCCATTCACCCCTCATCTGTTTTTTCGTTTATATTTTACTCATTAGAATTCCAATTTAATCATTAACTTTTCGAATTACTCTTATTTTAATTACTTTTTGATGATGCAAAATATTTTATTATTATTTTCAGTATGACATGAAAAAATCATTAATAATTAATATTAGGGTAAACTACTTAAATGATCACTTAATTATAGGATTATTGTTGATATAACTATCATACTTTTGATCTTCACAATATAATCACATAACTATTTAAGTGATTCCAATATAACCAATTACCGTTGAAAATAGATGGTTTAGTTGATGTGGACCTGACTTCATATTTCGATTCTATGAACAAGTGATTTGGGGTTTAACGTTTGTAACAAAGACTAATAAAAGGTTATATGACTATAAATGAAGAAATTACCCCCAAGTATATAATAAACCTAAGAAACGAAAGTTTTAGATGTATAATAAGTGTGTGAATAATGATGATAGCTAGTTTTTTTTTTTTTTTTGGTTACAAAAAAGTTTAGGTTAAGAATGGTTTTTTCAGTCCAGGGTTAGGACATATCTAAGACTTAATTAGAATTTATATAGGAATTTATAGATTGTTCACTAAGAATAACGGTGATAGGATTTAAACTTAACCTTATAAACCCAAATTCCTAAAGCATGATTATTCTATTATGCATGCTTGGATGTTGATGTAATGGCGAGTAGCCACATGGTCCTTTGATTACGCGTGATCTTTGAGCATTGTTTTCGATTAACGGTTATGAGTCACGATTAACATAACACCTCAAACACTCGATTTGTTTATTTGACCATCGAGTATGAGTGGCACAATACTATTTGGACACCTAATTATATGTACCCATCACATGTACAATATGATCAATATGACATACTCCACGAATGAGTAAATTTTGTTGTATGGATATGGTATCCCTATGACAGTATATTTTGGAAAGTCCATTTGTAAATTAAGCTTTAAATGTGATTTGAGTTGTAATTCTCCTTGCGCTTATTTGGTGGTTTTAAACATGGTTAATTAGTACATGCTAAGATTATTGTATTCGTGGATCTTTGTTTATATTTGTAACACCCAAAAATTAGAGTATTTAATGGGGTGCGTGGGGGCGTGTGCAGAGCCTTCGGGAGTTAAAAAATTACGGAAAAATTTCTATATACTTTTTAAGGGGTTTTGAGATACTTATCAAGCTCGGTTCATGGTAGTGAACTGTGGAGAGCTCGATTTCGAAACGTCGAAAACTTTATCTTCCTCACCCCTTCACACTCGATGACAACGGAGACAAGGTGAACACCAGTGGACTCGGGACAACGCAAAGAACAAATGGTGCAGGAGGTATCAAAAACGGACCAACGGTCGATGACGAAACGACGATTGAAGTTTCTTGCTAAAAAAGGAAAGCTTGGAGAGAGAGAATAAAATTTATTTAATAAGTTAAGCTAAAAATAAAATATATTTTGAAAAACTTAAAAAACATAAATTATTACAAAAAAAATACATAAATGATTATAAAATAAAGTTAATTATTATACATAAATTATTATAAAATCAAGTTAATTAAGTTAATTATTATAAAATCAAGTTAATTAAGTTAATTATTATAAAATCAAATATATCCATAAATTATTATAAAATCAAGTTAATTATTATAAAAAAAATTCAAATATATACATACAAATACATATATGATTACTAATGAGGCCTATATCTTGGTAGATTTGGACATTTCATTTTTCAATGACCTTCACCCCCACATAATACGCATCTCTTTGTTTAAAATTTCTCTCTAGCATGGAAGTCCATATTGGTATGAATACAATTGGACTCAGTCGACCCTTTGGACTTCTACGAAGCATTGAATTTGGTAGTCGTTCGTCATGATCCTTTTTCGGCCAATATGAATCATTTGAGATCTTTCTGAACACATAGTTGTATACATTTAATATCCTATTTATGTGAAAACACTCATTAACATAATTGTATGCGCTTACACCAACATATAAACATGCAGCGACTGCATGAGCACATGGATATCTCTATGCCTGAAAGCGACCACAATCACACCATTTGTGTTATAAATCAACTCTGAATGTTTGGCCTTCTCCTCATTTTTTACGGCGTATGAATGACACAACAGAAGTATGACCAACTCGGTCGAAATTATGAACAAGCATTGAGGTTGCCAATCGCTCGTTTGCTTCTATTGCTTCCACCATTGTAGGAGCCCAAGTTTGACTTCTATTTATGAGACACTCAATCTCATTGCCTTTATCGTTTCAAACCTTAGCAAACCTAAAGTATGTCTCCTTCACCACACTCGCTATTGGGAGATGACGTGTACCTTTTAATACTTAATTATTGGTCTCAGCAAGGTTTGTGGTCATGTGTCTGTATCACCGACCCTCGTTGTATGCTTACAACCATTTTTCTCACGGTATTTTCGAAGCCAACTTTCAAACACACTGATCATCATAAAATAACTTTAAATTCTCCAACCTCTTGTCAAAATTTGGTTGGCATAGTTTGTACCATGTTTCATAATATATAAATATATATTCTATTAAACCTCAATTAAAAAAACATAAATCAATACACAATTGTTGAAAATAAAACTTACTCATGCTTACTATCTCGCTATGAATGCGGGCGTTATGAAACTGATCGATATTATTCTTACCAATATGGAGGATACAAAATGTGGGATATGCATACGAAGGTATCCAATGACTTTCTAGTCGTTCAATTGTCGCCAAAATACATGTTCCTCATCAGATATCAAGCAAACTTCATCTTCTAGAATGACATATTGACGTAGATTGGTCAAAAAGAAACCCTATGCCTCTATTGTATCTCCTTCAACAATGGCGAATGTAATTGTGAAGATATTTCATTCACCATCTTGCACAACTGCCATCAGCAATACATGTTTATATTGATCATACATCTACTTACCATCTACTTGGACCATACGTTTACAAAATGGAAATCCTTTTATGCATGTCTTGAATGCCCAAAAGAGTATGAAATATTTTCCCTGTAACAAGTTAACCTTCTTCATCATATGCAGGCATAGTTTGAGAATTCACTATGGTTCCTGGGATAAATCCCTTCATTGCTTGTAACAAATATGGTAGCTCATTGTACGATGTATTTCAATCTCTATATGTCAGCTTCATTGCTTTCATTTTTCACATTCCAAACCTTGTAGTATTTTACTTGGTATCCAAATTGGCTTTGAATAGATGCAGCTAACACTGAACAAGGGATCTTTGGATTCTTCTCAACCAACACCTTAACATATCTACATATTACATCGGAGTCCAATAGTCGGTGGTCTTGTTCGATTGAGTTTCGCAAACATGTGTGAGACCATTATACCTTGTGATAACCCAAGCATCGTGCCTCTGAATTTTGGACACTCTGGCCTTCCACTTGCACTATAGGTCATATTTAACACACTTCACACATAGGTTTTTTGGTTGGGGTTTGCAACATGGACATCAGCATGGCCTTTGATGCAATACTCTTTAATCGCTAGTGTAGCTTCATCTTTTCCTCTAAATTGTATCCCAACCGAAAATTCACCAGAATTTTTGAATGATTCAACCATGTGGTATGGAGGTATATGAAGCATGTTTGGGAATTTTGGTGCCCTCATTACATCATAATCTATCTCATACATATTAGGGGTAGGTTGATACGGTGTCGGACCTTCATTAGTGTCCAGGTTATGTGCGCCACCACAACCAAAATTATCATCATCAGCCAAAACGGGTTCCTTAGTTTCTTCATCTTCGCTAGAATCATCATGGATTTCTCCCCATCGATTTTTAACATCAACAATCAATTCTGAATTATATATGTTTCTCCTCGTACTCTACTGCTGCAGATGTTCCACCGACTTCATTTCCACTTTCCAATAGCGCCATAAAATTATTTATCAATATGTATGTAGGGTCCTCAAACTCACTTTCGAAGCCATTTGAGATTAATTTCCAACTATATTTTGTTAGGATTTGATAGTTACAAAGGGGGAAATTGATAAAAATGTATTTAAGGAGTACGGAGAGAAAAATATAAGATAATGAACACAAATATTTATAGTGGTTCGACTTATCAACCAAGTCTACATTCACTACCTTAGCTCCTCACTAAGGATTTTCTAATAAATTCACTAATTTTTTCTTTCCTTTTCAAGGATCAATAGTAACCTTTACAACTCCCTATGGTTTTACTTGGCTATGATAGAACCAATCCCCTTTTACAAAAGGTAAAAAGAAGTAAACAAATAAACCTCTCAAAGGTATGTGTTTACAAAGAATTAAGCTCACACAAACACAATATTTACAAGAGAAATGAAAATAAGAATGAAAGACTCTTTTCTTGTGTTTGATTGCTTGGATAGATTTTTAACCCTTCTTCAAGTGTTCTCAACTTGTATTTATATGTTGAATGATGTTGTGGTCGTTTCTAGCCGTTAGGGATCAATTTTCGTGCAAAATAAAGCTACCCAAAACAGAGGGTATCAGTACTCCTAAAGGGAGTATCAGTACTACCTTTGTTATATTTAAATCAACTAGCTGTTACTAGCAGTTGGGGCCTGATGGTATCGATACTATGCCTATGGTATTGATACTACTATACAGAGTAGTATCGGTACCCTTTTAGGTATCAGTACCATTTTTGCATTCTGGAATTTGAGCAATGCTGGTAGTATCGATACTACCTATTGAGTATCGATACTTCCCTTACCTTT